GGAGCTGGTTTTGGATCTCAAACACCCAAGGGAAGAACAAGAGAGCAACTTGGGATCATTGTTGGAGCTATTTTGGGAATTTTTTTAACCATTAGAGCTCGGGACTCAAGCTTGGATATGGATATTGAAGATCTAGATCAAATTTTTGCATTCTCTCTCTTCTCTATTGAGTAACTTTCCTTCACTTAGGTTTTGAGGATTCCTAGTAATGTTTGTTTTATTGGATGATTGTATGAGTACTCTCTCTTGATTATATTGAGTTTATATTCAATCTATACATGTTTAGATGTCCAAGCCTACTTTAGCCGAGATTATTAATTATGTTTTAATTCTAAAAGAGGGAATAATACCTGATTAGGTCAAGATAGCACCATAGATTGATAGTAGGCGATCATTTGCATTAATAGTGAATAGATTCCTTTCTATTTATCGATTGAGAACCTCATTCTATAATGGGAGTATAATATAGAATGCATTGATCAGTTGTTCTAGAGAATGATACGTCCCTCTAGGCATGCAGTTGACTCAAGAGGGACTTGATTGCTTTAGTAGAGATTCAAGGTCTAGTAAAGGACTATGCATTCTGAATGAAAGTGAATCAAGTTAGACATCACCGATCATTAATCCTACTAGTGGCTAGGAGGAATTTTACCTAAGTGAGTTCCCAACCTGTGATTAGTAGTCTAACCTACTTTAGCTTATAGAGTAATCTAGTTAATCAAATCTTAATCTGATTTGCTAGATAATGAACTGAAGCTGAGTATTAGTACCTCTAGAGACCCGTGGATTCAATATTTATTACTTGTTCCCCTATATTGCAACCACATTCAATGGTTACACTTGGCCATTGCTAGGAGTTGTGTTTTGACGAGTTAAGTTTTTGGCGCCATTGCTGAGAAATTTCTAGATTATTAGGAAAGGCAGAAGTTTTTTACTTTAGCTTTTCGTTCTTTAGTTTTTTTCTTCCACCCTTGCTTTTCACTTTAGTGTTTTTGTTTTTGGTTGTGCATATTTGAATCATGGATGCCTATAGCTTTTCCGACCAACGAGGGCATCAACCAACGCCCGGTTGGTATTACCCCAAAACTTCATGGGATAACCAGTACGGAGAAGACTATGGATTTGGGTACCAAGAACACCACCCTTTTACAATGCACAACCAGATCCTTGGGCGTTTCAAGAACCACCTCCTTATCGAGAATAATTCCTTCCACAACCAAAGGGGATTTCTGAGTTGAAATTAGCCATGGTGGCCTCCACGGGTCATTCTGTAGAACCATGCTACATTCCATATCTGAAACCAAAGAGCTAGTTGGAGCTTGCACTTGGGAAGTTTGTTCTAGATGACGAAAGATTGTGCTCCAAGGTGGACTCCCTGATTAATACCCTTTATGAAATCTCCATTCTCGAACAGTCAGAGTAGACCTTCCGACGCATGAAGATGAACATAGAGGTCATTGAGCAAACTTGTGCACAACTTGCTCAATATAGCCTCTTTGCTACCATACAGGAAGAGGATGAAAAAGATGGCTACAAGGGCATTGTGTAGCAGGCATGTCCTAGAGAGTTCCCATCATGATTGTGATCAGGCATATCCAGTTGTATCCGACCAGACCTTTCCGCATCCCACACCGAGCTTTGAAGAGACGAGCGAGTTAGGAGATGCAAGAAGATCTTATCGAGAATCTTGCATGAAGACTTGCTATCCAAAATTTTCTTGAGGAAGAGCGATAAAAGGGGGGCGAAGTCGTGGAGGAGGAAGAAAGAAAGAAAGAAGAAGTTCTTGATCTTCGACAAGGGGAGAAACCAAATTCTAAATAAGGTACAATGATTGAAGAACCAATTGAGGTCCAAGAAACAGATGAGGTCGATGTGGTTAAAGATTCTATAAGCCTAGAGTAATTCCAGACATCCCCACTCGACCTTGATGAGCTACTAGAGAAAGACTCGTTTCCCGTGTTTCTTTGTCAGACCAAGGCCACACCAACATTGATCCGGGGAGTGGGAATTCGGTTGCGGTTTTGCGGTTAAATCGCAAACCAAAAAATTAAGTTCCTTTGCGGTCGTAGTTAGCAATATTGTATGTTTTGAGGTTTACGTGTTAACCGCAACCTTAACCGAATAAGATGTTTGACCTTTAGAGTGATATTTTTTTTGCCATACCTTATTCGAGACTTATTCTTATTATGTGCAGAGGGGCTGTCGGCACTAACTAAAAGAGCAGTGGACCAAGGGAAACTTCATGGACTGCGAGTGAGCCGGAATGGACCGATGATCACCCATCTGTTCTTCGCAGATGACAGTATTTTTTTCTTTGAAGCCAAACGGGAAGAAGGGGCAGCACTCAAGGGGCTGTTGGAACTATACGAGAATGCATCGGGGCAGCAGGTAAGTTTACAGAAATCGGAGCTGTCTTTCAGCACGAATGTTGCTGAAGAAGTCAGAGGAGAATTGGCGGACACACTAGGGATGAAACAAGTACAACAACACGACAAATATCTTGGACTCCCTACTGTTATTGGTCGATCAAAGAAGGCTGTTTTTTCACAATTAATTGATCGAGTCAGAAAAAAGATCAAGATGTGGAAGAGCAAGCTGTTATCAAATGCAGCCAAAGAGGTGCTGATCAAAGCTATAGCCCAAGCACAAACGCTGTATGCGATGTCAGTTTTCCAAATCCCACAGGGAGTGATCAATGAAATTCAAAGCCTAATCGCGGGATTCTGGTGGGGGAGGAAGAGAGAAGAAAGGAGAATTCACTGGTTGAGCTGGGAAAAACTCTGCAAACCAAAAGAAGAGGGAGGGATGGGATTTCGAGACCTCCATGGTTTCAACATTGCGCTACTGGGCAGACAAGTCTGGAATCTTCTGAAAAAACCAGATAGTCTCGTAGCAAGGGTGTTGAAAGCAAAATACCACCCTCATTGTGACATCCTCCAGGCAGAGGTAGGTAGCAGCCCCAGCTACATTTGGCGCAGTCTAATGGCAGCACAGAAATTGATTAGGGAGGGCACTAGATGGAGAATTGGGAGAGGGGACAAGGTGAGGGTCTGGTGGGATAGATGGATCCCTGAATCCCCAAATTTCAAAGTGAGTTCAACGGTGGCAGGTTTGAGCATGGAGGCGAAAGTGGCAGAACTGATTGACCCGGAAACTAGAACATGGAGATCAAACATTCTACAAGCCTGTTTCAATCCCACCGATAGAGAAAGAATCATCCAAATCCCTCTGCCGAGCCATCCCCTAAACGACAATCGCTGCTGGGGCCATGAAAAGTCGGGGAAATACTCGGTAAAATCAGGGTATAAAATATGGAAGGAAAAGCAGAGCCAAACAGAAGGTGAACCTTATGTCCCAGTCGACTGGAAAAGGCTGTGGCACTTAGACATACCCCCAAAGGTAAGAGTTTTTGTGTGGAGATGGGGATGTAATATCCTACCAACAGGAGCAAATCTGACCAAGCGAGTCAGGGAAGCCTGCGATGAATGCCCGTTCTGCGGATTGAGAGAGACACAGGAGCATATAACAAGAGATTGTGATTGGGCTGGGAGAGTGTGGAGGCCAAGCGAAATTGCGAGACTATTCAAGCTAGGAGAAGGAAAAAGCAGCGAAGAATGGTTGTGCGAACTACTGGAGAAGGCTACGGATGATGAAATCTGCCAGATTCTTATAGCACTTTGGTATATTTGGAAAGAACGTAACAACCATTTGTTCAACAATCAAAAACTAGAAGAGTGGGAAATAGTACAGAGATCGCAAAATTACCTGGAAGAATTTCGGAGTTGCCAACAGAAGATCCAAATTGGCCCGCAGTCGAGAAGGGAGTTCAGTTGGGAAAGGCCGCCGCCGGGATGGTGGAAGGTCAACGTGGATGCTGCGATTCTCAGGGAAGGAGGAACGGGCCTTGGGCTGGTAGCAAGGAACAGCGAGGGGGAATTCAGAATGGGGGCAATCCACCGGACACGAGCGCGATGGCAGCCGGAAATAGCTGAAGCCAAAGCGATTCTCTGGGGAATGCGATTGGCGATGCAGAACCTTGAGGGCCCGATGCTAATTGAGACCGATTGCCAGTCGATTGTGCAGAAGATCGAAGGAGAAGCTCAGAGCGAACTGGAAATCGGTTTTCTATGTGATGAGATTAGGGAAAGAATGGAGGAAAGAGGAAATGTGAAGTTGAGGTTCTGGGGAAGAAAGGGTAACGAAGCAGCGCATCAGATGGCAAGAATGAACTGCCATTGGGAGTCGGACGAGGTGTGGTTAGACCGAGAACCGGTTTTTATCCATTCTATTCTGGTTAAGGATTGTAGCAGCAGTAACTCCAATGTTTCACATTAATTAATATTCAGGCAAGTTATCAAAAAAAAAAAAAAAAAAAAAAAAAAAAAAAAAAAAAAACATTCCTCCTCTTGAAATCGTCTAGCCATTGATGATATCCATCACAGACAACATACTCCCCAATATGATTTGCAACCTATATCATATTGTCTTGCTCCCCATCTCCTCTAAGTAGAATTTTTACAATAATTGGAATTGTGGTTGTATCAAAGTATGCCTCAAACAATGGAATGCTCCACTACTCCACGTTCGGGTCTATTAGCTCCCTCACTCTAGCATCCACCTCCTTCCTTTGTGGTGTAGTGCTGATAAATTAAGGCTCGATCAACAGTCACTTAATCCCCCCAAATGCCGCTCAGGGATTCATCCCTTATTCTCCATCTTAGTCCTTCACATTATAAACTTTGTACATTGTGCTCTCATCAAGTTGGGAGACCGAGATATTTATCATGTAGACCGAGATATTTATCATGTTTTTCCACCGTCTTTACTTTGAGTATCCCGCTTATAATTAGCTGTTGGTGTGGCTTAAAATTACCGTTGAATGGAACTTCGGACTTCTGAAAGTTTACCAGCGCCACAATGTCATCTCCAACCGTCTTCCAATACCATGGCCTATAAGCCTTATGTGGTGACAATGGGGATCTCCAATGAACTCTTTTAAGAGAGCAAAAACGTAATATATTTCTTTATATCTACTTAAAAAAGAAAATACCAATATTATTACTTACAAACTTAATCCTGCTTCAACTCTCCAAAACTTGCACCAAAAGTTAAACTTCAAACCAAAACTTCATAATTTGGCTTTCTAATTAAACCTGAAGAATGGGAGATTTCTCAGTTTGATCCTCCCCTTCAATACAATTATTCGTACTACAACCACTATTCGTCACAGCAATCTTCCTCACTGCCTCCTCTTCACAACTCCTCGCCGTCAGTTGCTGAAGCGGACTTCCGCCATTCTCTTCCACACCCATAGCCGCGGCCGGCGGCCTATTTCCTCCGTTGGCCGCCGTCACTGCGGCCACCGCCATCTGATCCACTGTTGTTCTCTTCCTCTCACTCACCACATCCCACAAAAAATCAAACAAAACCCGCTCGTACCCGGGCATCTTAGCATACCCGGGGAAATAATTAATATCAATAACTAAATACTTATTCTCTCTAGTGGAATCCCTAATCACATCAAAGTTAAACAGATGGAGCTTCGTCGCGGACCTCAGACCTCTAGCGAGGTCCACGACGAAGCTCTGGGGCGGCATCTCCGCCCCATCCAGCTGCATCGCCTTGTAGTAGTCGTACTTATCGTTGTCGTCATCGTCGTCATCATCGTTCTTCCTATATGGCGTCGTGATGTTGGACACCTGAGAAAATGGCACCGAGCTCTCCGAGCTGATGCTCCCTGGGATCACGTCGGGGAGCGACTTCCGCTTTACACACTGCACATAGTCGCCAACCACGTAGACTTTGAAGATCACACCGCCGTGGTTGACAAACTCCTGAAGAACGATTGGGGGTTTGAGTTTGTCGAGCCCCTCGCGGTTGAAGATTAGGATCATCTTGTGGGATTTAGCACTACCATCTGCGATAAGCGGCTTGGCAATCACCGGGAACTTGAGCAGATCCCATGATCGTCTGTCGGAGAGGGTCTCCTTGTCGTAGATCACGATCTGTTTTGGGATTCCAAATGTGGCGGCTGGTGAGATTGCAGTGGAGTTTGTTTTGAGCTCCGAGACAACCTGTTGCATGAATCCTATAAGAGATTAGCATTACCAGTCGTTGAAATGATAACACATCCAATTCACCTTAATAAGAACATCCAATCAACATCATTAGATGATTAGTTTCAAAGTAAACATCATCTAATCCATCCTGAAACCAGAACATTCGGCTAATAACACATCCAATTCATCCTGAAGAAGATTTGGACAGCGTCACAATGTAGTTAGCCTAACATGCTAACATTCAATTCAACCCATCTTGAATTCACACTTTTACACCACATCAAAACAATGTAAGCTTGATAATGGTGGGAACCTGTCGCATACAATTCACTCCGAATTACTCCGAATTCGAATATCAGGCCGCCATTGCTACGAGATCAACGTAACAGAAGCAGAATAACCGGGATCTAATTCATCTTTTAACTTCCAACGTTCACCCAGCATCATTACACGATTAGCTCTAACCATAAGGGCGCATGGTAACATTCAATCCTTCCTGAATTCGAGCATTTGCCAAATATCACTACGGAGTAAAGCTCAAATTCTCACATTCAAAATTTCCACTCACGAATTCGAATATTCGGCCAACACCACTACGGCAACACACCGATGACATTAAAACGACGACGTTGAATCCGTACCTGGAGCATGGAGATGCGGTTGTGGAGGCGGGAGATGGATTCAGGCGAGTCGATGACGGTGGCATGGGGGTGGAGGCGGCGGAAATCGTCGAGCTGGCGGGACCAATCGTCGCCGTAGAGCTTGTGGAGTAGGCAATCGAAGGGTCCCTGGTCGATTAGAGGGCGGCGAAGGTCGATTGGGACGAGGTCGATGCCGCGATCGTGGCAGAGAGAGACGAGGGAGTCCTGGATGAAGCTCTTCTGCTTCTTCGGCAGCAATGCGTATCCCACTCTGTACCGCCTCGTGTCCGCCATGGATTTGGAAAAAAAGCTTCGAGAGAGAGAGAGAGAGAGATGGGGCGAATTGGGGGCGATTGGAGAAGATGGAAGAGAGCGATATTTGGGCGATGAGAGAAGTTCGCGGAAAGGTTTTTTTGGGGGGAGGTGGAGGTGTGTGAGAAAAAAATATTACAAACGAAAATTGCTACGGTGCGAGTAGAGAAACGGTTCGAATCCTCTTCAATTTGAGTTTCTCTCGTGTTGTGAAATCGGTTTATGCGAGGATAAAAATAAAAGAAATCCGTTTATGCTATTTTGTCCATTTGGCAAGAGTATCCGGCTAGCATACTAACACTTTTTAAGCATAATACTAGCTCCAACTAATAAAAATATTTTATTTGAATGATTTTTAATTTAAATGAGTTGACCACAATTAATAAAAGAATAAGAGAATGAGTAGGGTGGGCGTCATCCAGAAGAAAGCCGCCTCTGAATCCTGCACACGATGAGGGGCTAGCATGCTAGGGCAGGAGCTCGAAGGCTGTGGAGGGAGGAGATCGTGTTGCAGGGGCTGTTAAAGCTAACCTGAAAGGGAAGGGGGCAGCAGTGGATGGTGCGAAGCAGAGACTTGGCGACAAGTCGTCTGGTGGCGGGCAGAAGGAGGGGAAAGGGAATCAGGTGCTTCAACCGAACTCGGGGAAGGCACGAGGTGAGGTTAAGACCATAGCTAGTGGCTCGAAAGTGCAACCTAAGCCGAAGGTGGTCTTGAAGGTGAGGGGCGAGCTGCTGCATAAAAATGAGGGGAAAAGCAAGGATAATGGTGGTGATAGAGAGGCTGTGGGGGCAAAGGATGTAGTGAAGGAAGGGAAGCTGGGGTCTGTTGTTTCGAGGGGGAAGGAGGGCCAAGGGAAAGAGGATGTGGAGGTTGGGGGGGAATTTCCTTCGCAAGTGGGCGCAGAGGCAGCAGGTGGGGTTTCGGAGGGGATGGCTGGGGGAATGGGGGGTTCCCCGCCTCCTAGTAAACAAGTTGCTTTCCGGATGGTGGCGCCGTCGGACGAGGACATGGGAGACAGGAAGAGAACGGTGGACATTGTAGAAGACCTGGCTAAGGATCCTACTCCAGTCAAAAAGCTTTGTCTTGATGATCCGGTGGAGGAGGCGCGGCCTCAAACTGTTCCAAGTGGGGACGAGAATGGGGGAAAAAATGGAAACACTGTAAAGGTGGTGGAAGCCGGCCTTGAGCGGCCCCATGTAGCCAAATGAGGCTTCTCGCCTGGAACGTGAGGGGAATTGGGCCATCCCTCACGTTTCAGTCTATCCTAGGAGTAGTTCGGTCGAATAATCCTGAGATTGTTTTCTTTTCCGAAACTCGTTCGAGACGTAAGGTTGTGTCTCGTCGCTTGCGGGGATTAGGTTTTTTTGATTTTTTCTTAGTCGATGCTGTTGATTCTGCAGGAGGGTTGGCAGTGGGTTGGTCCCCCGAGCTTTCGATCTCGGTGATTTGTAGTTCTTAGTTTTTTATTTCGGTTTGTGTCGAAAAGGATGGAATAAAATTCTGTGTGGTCTTTGTTTACATGAGTTGTCGTGAGGTTGAGAGGGTGGTTCAGCTTGTCGATTTGCGACGGTTTTGTGCCGGTCTTGGTTTACCATATTTGGTGGTGGGTGATTTTAATGATATCTTGGCCTCTAATGAAAAAGTGGGAGGGCGATCCTGGAACCCAGTACACTCGCAACCCTTTCGGGATTTTGTGGATGTATTGGGGGCTTCACGACCTTGGTTTCTCTGGTAACCCTTTTACTTGGACGAATAGGCGGATGGGGGATGCCTGCATCCAGGTTCGGCTGGACAGGGGCTTGGCGTCTGATGGATGGTTGCACGCTTTTCCTGATTCCCTGGTGATTCACGGTACCGATCTTGGATCGGATCACAGAGGCCTGATTGTGGCGGATAAACCATTCGTGCGCTCAGGGAAGAGGCTGTTTCGTTTTGACGCTAGGTGGGCGGATAATGTTGAGGTTCGCCCGATGGTGGAAAGTGTATGGCATGAATCGATGCAGGGATCGGCGATGTTCCAATTGTGGGCTCGGCTCAAAAAATTACGCCATCTCCTTTTCCAATGGAGCAAGGCGGGGACCACGAATTCTGAACGTCAGATTCGGGTTCTTCAGGCCGAGATTGGGGCTTTAAAAGAGGAATCCCCGGTGAATTGGGATCGGATTAATCAATTAGAGAGGGATCTCACTTTGCAGTGGGCGGAGGAGGAGATGCACTGGAAGCAGAAGTCGAGGGTGCATTGGTTACGGACTGGGGATCAGAATTCCTCGTATTTCCACACAGTGACCCGAGCCAGGAGAAAAAGAAACTTTGTGGAAAAGTTGAAAAGAGATGACGGTTCCTGGGCTACGGAGGAACCAGAAAAGGAGGAGGTGGCGGTGAATTTTTATGAGCATTTGTTTACCGCGGAGGCGGATGTCCGGGGAATTCGATACTGGGTTGCGGCTCTCCCTTTGGAGGCGAAAGTGATTGCGGAAATGAATAGCAACCTTGTTGCAGAGGTCTCGGAGGAGGAAATAAGACGTACGGTCTTTCGTATGGGGTCCCTGCAGGCGCCGGGTTCGGATGATTTTACTGGAAAATTTTTTAAGGCCTTTTGGGATATCGTAGGGACGTCGGTGGTTAATGCTGTGCGCTCATTTTTTCAAAATGGGCATATCTTACGCAGCTTTAATCATACCTGGCTTACCTTAATTCCGAAGGTGGATAATGTCGAATCTATGCGTCAGTTACGACCCATTAGTTTGTGCCAATTTGTCTATAAGGTAATTACCAAAATTATGGCGGAAAGAATGGCGGTTATCTTGCCGCAAATTGTGTCCTCGGGGCAGAATGGTTTCATTAGGAAGCGCCAGATTGTGGATAATATTTTGATTGGGCACGAGATTATGCATTACCTTAAGAATAAGAGAACGGGTAAGAAAGGTTATATGGCCTTAAAGGTCGATATGGAAAAAGCCTATGACAGGGTCGAGTGGCCTTTCTTACTGGCAGTTCTCGAAAAGTTGGGGTTTAATCAAGTTTGGGTTCGATGGGTGAAGGAGTGTATCTCCACGGCCTCCTTCTCGGTTATGGTGAATGGTAGCCCATCCGGTTTCTTCAGATCTACGAGGGGGCTTCGGCAAGGGGATCCTTTGTCTCCTCTTCTCTTTGTAATCTGTACGGAGGGGTTATCTGCCTTGCTGCGTCAGGCTATTGATCGGAAGAGGTTGGAAGGGGTTCGGGTGAGCCCCCGGGCGCCCCGGGTTTCTCACCTTCTTTTTGCGGATGACTCTTACCTGTTTCTGAGAGGGTCTCTTCAGGATTGCCATAACATTATGTCGGTCCTTAAGGAGTATGAGACTTTGAGTGGCCAAAAGGTGAATCTGGCTAAATCAGCGGTCTGTTTTAGTCGGAATATTGAGGGAAGTGATCAAGAAATCATGGGACGCTGCCTAGGGATTGGCGCGATTGGTGTCCATGATAAATACTTAGGTCTCCCTACTCTGGTGGCTCGCTCAAAGTCTGATACTTTCCGTTTTTTGGAGGAGAAATTACTGGAAAGGATTAAGGGATGGAAACAGCGGCATTTATCATGGGCGGCAAAGGAAACTCTTCTGAAGGCAGTGGCGAGTGCCTTGCCGGTCCATGGGATGTCGTGTTTTAAGTTGCCTGTTACCCTTTGTCGAAGGATGGATAAGCATATGGCTAGATTTTGGTGGGGATCCTCTGGGGGTCGGTCGGGTATCCCTTGGGTGTCGTGGCGCCGCCTTTGTCGCAGTAAGCACGAGGGTGGGATGGGGTTCCGGAGGTTTGAGGAATTTAATCAGGCTTTATTAGCTAAAGTGGCATGGCGAATTCTTGATGAACCAGATTCCTTGCTGGCCCAAGTCTTTCGGGGGAAATATTTCCCTAAGGGGTCTATCTTGTTGGCAAAGTTAGGCTCTCGTCCCTCGTGGGCCTGGCACAGTATCCTCCATGGTACTCGCTTGTTGCTGAAAGGGTTGGGTTGCCAGGTGGGCGATGGGGAATCAATTCCAATTATGTCGAGTGGATGGATTCCTCAGATTTTCCCGCGGTTTCCGGAGTTGTGTGTTGGGGCTCCTTTGGTGGGGGGAGAGTGCGTGGTCTCGTTGATTGATCAGGAGACTCGTTCTTGGTGTCAGGATTGTCTGGTGATGACTTTTAGTACAGACACGGTGCGTGCTATCCTCCAAGTTCCGATCCCTCGCACTCCTAGTGAGGATGCCTGGGTTTGGAGGCTTGACCCATCTGGGGTGTATACTGTGAAGTCAGGATATAGACTAGCTGAGAGTCTGAATCGTGCTAGTCTGAGCACGAAGCCAGGGTGTGATCCGATGGATAGGGCGTTATGGATAAAAGTGTGGGGGCTGGAGGTTCAGCCCAAGCTCAGGCTCTTCATTTGGCAACTTATGCAGCGCACGCTCCCGACGATGGAGGCTTTGATCCGGAAGAAGGTCCTGGTCTTACCCCGCTGTCCTGTTTGCTGGGCTCCGGAGGAAACTATAGAGCATTTATTTTTCTGGTGCCCGGTGGCAGTAAGGATGTGGGAAATGGCAGGGTTACGGGATGACTTGTTGCTTGGTCAAGAGCAAGCATTCTCTATCTTCTTCCGGCGTTTCTTGGAGCGGGATTCTTCTCCGGCGCGCGTAGTTCGTCTTGTTTGTCTTCTCTGACGGATTTGGAAGTCGAGGAATTTGGTGGCATTTGAGGGACAGCAAGACAATTTCGCTGTGCTGGAAAGGCAGTTCAGATTTCAGGTTCAAGAATGGATTGATAGTTTACCACCGGTTGGTGGGAGGATAGCTGCCTCAGCAGTGCAGGTGGGGGTGCCGGGTGTGTACAGGTGTGCCTTTGATGGGGCGATTTCTACGGGGTCGCATGGCTCCGTTGGGATTGTCCTGCAGGATGAGGCTGGAGGGATTCTAATGGCACGGGGCTTGGGTATTGCTGGTATGGTGGATCCGATGTTGGTGGAGGCGATGGCTCTTAGAGATGCGCTGTGCTGGTGTGCAGAGGCTGGCCTCTCGGCGGTTCAGTTTGTTGGTGATGCGAAGGTGGTGATCGACAAAGTGAACGCAGAGTCCAGTCGGGATGCGAAGGGTGGAGCTATCTTCCAGGAAATCTGTCGGTTGCTGGGTGCTAATGCG